GCGCTTGCAAGGCAGGCACCAGAACCACTGAGCTAAATCCCTGCTGGGACTCACTTTCTACATTACAAAAGAGAGAGAGAGAGAGAGAGAGAGAGAGAGAGAGAGGGAGGGAGGTAGGTTTGGGGATTTAGCTCAGTGGTGCTGCCACCTGCCTTACAAGCGCAAGGGCCTGAGTTCAAAACCCAGGTGAGAGAGAGAGAGAGAGGGGGAGAGAGAGAGAGAGAGGGAGGTAGGTAGGTTTGGGGATTTAGCTCAGTGGTGCTGCCACCTGCCTTACAAGCGCAAGGTCCTGAGTTCAAAACCCAGTTGAGAGAGAGAGAGAGAGAGGGTGAGAGAGAGAGAGAGAGGGAGAGAGAGGAGCCCACGGGTGCTGGATGCTCTATCTTTAGTCCTGGGTGTGATCCAAGTGCCGGGCAGTGTTCCTTATAAAGGCTTGCCCAGCAGAGGGTTAGCTCTGAGCCTGACACTGCCTTGCAGCCTGTGGGCAGTGTGGTGGGAGGCATGGCCACAGGCTTTAGGGCCAGCAGCCCCTTTACCTGCTGCCCAGGTAGACTCAGCCTTCTAACCTCAGTGCTTTGTTTGTGAGCCTGGGTGACAAGACTGTTTCTTAGAGCCTGGAGGATAAGTAACGTGGGGACATCATGAGAGGGCCCGGCCTGGCACCTGATGCAGTTCTGGGGAGCCTGGAGCTTGCTGCCTCCATGTTACAGTGGCACTCCGGCCTGTGGGAAGATGAGGGGGAGGCTGTCTGGCTCAGGGGTATCCAGAATAGTTGCCAGGAGAGGATATAGGGAGGGAGAGAGTAGGCTCTGAGGGTGGCCTTGTCATCCCACCTCTAGCCCCTCCTACATGTCGCCACTTACCCAAGGCTGCTGTGTCCATCTGTGGGTAGAAGGCACAAGGAACTGCCTGGGTGCCAGAGTCCAGGATTCTTCCCGTGGGAGAGGTCAGCTCCCCAGAGGAGTGTGGCCCGGGGCCAGCAGGGCTGGCGGTGTACACTGCCCTGGCACTGAGAAGGCAGGGTACTCTCAGTGCCACTCTGGGCAGTGTCCCTGCACTGGCAATGAGTCCTGGAGAAGCTGGGTCTTGGGGGACAGTGCTGGACATTGTGGGACCAGTGAGCATTTATTTGATGTAGTTATGCAAGGCAATGGCCATAGCCCACAGGGAGCAGATCTCTGGGGACAAGGCTACTGTGAGGCCACAGCAAGAGCTGAGGAAGCTGGGCACCCCCAGCCAGCAGTAAACCCCATGTGCTGGAGCAGGGTAGGCTGGAGGTGAAGTGGGTGAGACTAGAAGGAGCAGTGCAGAGCAGCAGGTGTCCTGGGCACTGCAGGGTGGGGTGGGGAGGGTGGAAAGGACCCAGGTGTCCACTTAGTTTACACTTGTCTTGGGGCTGTCTCTGCCTTGTGAGCCTGAAGCTGCCCCAAGGGTCTCTGGGTTCCTGGAGAGAGGGTTGGGGAGGGCCAGGGCTTCCTCGTGGTTGGTCCTGTAGCCCCGTGCCCTAGGCACAGAGCCAGGCTGCCAGTGCTGCAGAGCTGTGGGCTGTGGGGAGAATGAGCAATGAGCCCAGAGGGGCTGAGGGCCTAGACCCTACCCTCACTCCTCCCTGGAGGCACCATGGAAGGCCAGCCTCTGCCCTACGTGCCCACAGACCTGTGCCTGCACATGGCAATCCCCCACTCCCTATCCACACCCAGACCAGTGGAGTCCCCTACTTCTGGACTCTCACCCACTTTGCATCTTGCCCCCAAGCAGGTGATGCCCTCTGATTCTCAGGACCCCAGCACCTGCCACCCAGCCTCTGGGGAGTGGATGGTGGACAGCAGAACACAATCCTATTCCCTCCACCAGTGGAAATCAATAGCTAATTAATTTCCTCCCCAGAAGTGGGAGTTGGGTAGGGGCCAGGAGAGAGGCAGATGAGATTTGGCTAGGCCAGGCTGAGACCCCTCAGATGAGGGAGAGAGATGGCTGTTCTTCTGGCCAGCAGGTCTGGACTTCTGCTGGCATGATCTCTAGCTAGCTGTCCCTTCTGTAGAGGAAGGGGAGCTTGGGCTTTTCCCTTCCCAAAGCCTCAGGGACCCTGCCCTGGGCTGGTGTGTGTGTGTGTGTGTGTGTGTGTGTGTGTGTGTGTGTGTGTGTGTGTGGGGGGTGAGTGTGTGTGTGTGTGTGTGTGTGTGTGTGTGTAGATGGGGGGAGGGCGTCAATCAGGCTGGGAGCAGGTGCTGCATTTAATTTGATTGGCTAATTAGCCCGCGCATGTTAATTATCTCCATTACCCAATGAGGAGAGGCAGTGGCAAACTATATATAACCCAACAGTGTTTGTAGGGAGGGGGGCTGCAGGCCTGGATATTCTCTCTCCTGCCTGGGAAGGGGCAGTACTTGGAGGGCTGCTGGGACAGGACAGTTGAGTTTCCCAAAGGAGCTCTCATGGGATTGAGGGGGCAGTGGTCAGATGGAGCCAGATGTAAGGAGCTGGGAAAGGAGGGCTGGGCTTTGCAGGTCTCTTGCAGATGTCTCCCTAGATATTACTGCTGGCTTGAGACTTACCAGCCCATTTTCTTCTGCTTGTGTCACTTGCACCACTTCTGTCCTGTGACTCTGCTCATCCCCTCACTGTGGTGTTTGGGGGTCTCTAGCTTTCTCTTTTCACACCTTGCCTTCCCCCCACATAGCTCTCTGGCTGGGAACCTCACTCCTCTCCTTCCCCTCTCCAAGCTGTCCCCTTCTTTGGCTCCCATCTCTGTGAACTACATGTGTGGCTGTCCTGTCCACTGTCACCTCTGTGGGCGTGCTGGAGTCAGACAGACTTGGATGTGAAGCCCAGGTCCCTGCTGACTGACTGTGTCACCTTGGTCAAGTCCCCAGATTTCTTTATATGGGTTTCCCCAACAATTAATGGAAATAATGATTAAGTAAGATGACATTTGTAAAAAAGTCCAAGATCCAGTACCTTGACAAATGCTGTTTCAATTTGAAATTTAATTTTCTCAATCTTCCCTCTCTTTTCTCCTCATCAGACCCCCTTTGTCCTCCATTACTCTTCCATCTCTGCCACTTTTCATAGGCTCCTCTCTTTCTTCTCCCTCCCTGCCACCATCTTTCCCTGCCTCTTCCTAAACTCTGGCCCCTCCCTGCTTCTTTCCACCTCCTTCCCTCCCTCCCCAAAATAAAATCAATGCAATATTCAGGAGGGTTGTTGGATATAAATAATTACGACTGGGAGTTTAACGAGATGCAAATTCCCCTCCCCGTTGTGGGGTATAAATTGCTCTCTGACAGCCAGTTACAAGGGTAATCATTTCAGAAAGACAATTTTATGCAAATGAACCTGCTTGCCTGACGCCTGGTAGCTCCTCCATCCCTGGGTGGGGGGCCAGGAGGAACTAAAGGGTGAGGAGAATGCAGGTAGTAGGGCCAGTCCTGAAGCTGAGGACGGGGAGCTGGAAGTTGAGGGTGACAGGCAGATTAGCTTCAGAAGGTCTTGGGCTGGTGAGGTTGGGGCCCAGGACAGGGAGAGTGATTTGGGTGGGGGGCATGGATGTATGAAACTGGATGCCTGTATCCTTACAGGGGTGGAGAGGGCTTGGGGCATGGATACCTGTGTCCTAGTTGGCTTCTGTCTTGCCCCCTTCCCAGCCTGCTTACCCTGTGATACCATTGACGAATTGGCATTTAATTAATCTCAATGAATTATTTAGCAACTTCATTATCCAGCATCAAGAGCTGATGCAGGAGAGTGATCCGTGGCCGGCGGTGGGAGCCACGGACAGAAGTTGGGCAGCTCAGAGAAAGAGCTGGGATTACTCGCTGGTGGACAGGCCTCGGAGTCACCCAAGGAGCTGGCCTTGGTGCTGACGCCTGGGTCCTTGGAGAGGGTTAGGGTGAGGGGAGACTTCTGGCTGTCATCTCCCACGTCCACATCTCACACCAATAAAGCCCCTAGTGAGTAGTACCAGCTCTCCACAAGTGTCCCCTGCGTACTTCCAGACATTTTGCAGGCTGGGGCCTGTCTACAGGGAAACAGGTGGTCATCCGGAGCAGGGAGGCAGACACCGGCGGACCCCTCCCTCCGATCCCCTCACTAACGCTTCGCTTTCCTTTCTGTCTCCCCGCAGGCTTCCCTCCCCCTTCAGCAGTCGGAGATGAGTAGTACCAGCTCTCCACAAGTGTCCCCTGCGTACTTCCAGACATTTTGCAGGCTGGGGCCTGTCTACAGGGAAACAGGTGGTCATCCGGAGCAGGGAGGCAGACACCGGCGGACCCCTCCCTCCGATCCCCTCACTAACGCTTCGCTTTCCTTTCTGTCTCCCCGCAGGCTTCCCTCCCCCTTCAGCAGTCGGAGAGAC